GGTAAGTTTTTAACTATTCAAAAGAAATATTTATTGAAGATAAGCACTAATGCATACCAAAATGGACTCGAACCCAAGAACTTCAGGTCACGACTATCTTTTGTTTCTAATTAAAATTACATCTGGCTAAAGTGTGTGGAACAATTCAAGTTGAAACACTTCACATGAGCACAGTGTAATTAATTATATTAATGGTTATATATACATATATCGCTCCTATCATTATTTACATCACTTAACACTACATAAACTGAATCGATTATCGAGATGCGATATTTGGCTTTCCAATTATAAACAAAATGTGACAAGTTAGGGTAGTCGCAGAAAACATTGGCATATTTTCGTAGTGATTTTCACCACGAACTGAAGAACTTCCTAAACCAAGATATTCTGGATGAAAAAAAAAAGAAATCCTTGCTGAAAGATACTTCTTACTGATTCAGATCAATATCTTACCATCTGACTTCAATCACATGACATCTAAAATACAGTGCACGAGCTATCGATCGACAGAACCTAATCAGTACCAAGAGCTAGACAATTTCAACGCTGATTACTACTCTTCAATGAACAATCATTGTATCTCAAACTTACAGGAGATCAACAGAGCCACGAATCTCTCAGCGGTAGTAACTATGAAACTAAGTGACAATAACTCAAATCTTACAGAGAGCATGTTCACACAAGGTTGCAATTACGTCTTACATATGAATACTAACCAGGATGAAATATAGATGAAAGGTGTTCTATCAATCATCTAACATATTATATCATTTAAACAACTTCAATAAATCGTTAATAGTTACTTAACACTCAATAATTCTTATCATTAACTCCAATCTAAACTGACATTTAATCAATAATTATGATAAACTGTTTATGATAGCAATTTTTTTAAGGACAATCATTCTACATTGTAAATAATACAATTTCAATCATATGAAGAACATAATTCATGTATTTTGTCATAATACTATACTATATTGAATTCTATCATAGAACCATTTAAATACAAAGTTTCTAATAAGATAATTTATTTTTATTTAAACACAAAAATATTGGTACGAAGAGGCACCAGATATATATGCGCCAAACAAATCTTATTTGATTTGTATGAGGGCTATGATACTGTACAGGTGCCCAAACTGAAGCAGGTGGTTTTTTTCAAAGGGCCACACCTGGATTCATTCGACCTAAAGATCTGATCCACAAGGCAGTAGAGCATCGTAGGGAGATGTAGTCCCATGGTAGCCGCTGACCAACGACCGATTCATACACCATCTGTTCCCTCGAGATACTAAAGCCTATGTGCACCATTGGTTTGTAATCAGGGTTTTCCAACTCCCCTAGATGGACTTTCCGTGTCCACCAACCCGGTTAAAGCGCCGGACATTCGATTTTTGTTCTCTCAGTTTCGTGAACAACACACCTACCACGAGAAGGCAGTGATTAGGACTTCTCTGACAGAGGTAATATAGGTGTGGTCATGTGAGAGCATTTCGAGAGGGAGAGAGGACTCTCCGCCGTACCAGGGCATTTGGGGGCTAGGTCACTTATTCATTATTGACTAACTTTTAACGATTACATAACTCATGACATTTGGTAATATTAAACAATATAATTTTAATTGTAAACATTATACACAGATAGATGTATATATACATAAACACAAGTGCATATTTAATATTGTTTATTCATATCCAATAGATCACATTGATAATGTATGAATAATTACATATCATTTACATAAGATGGATAATTCTAACTTGTTACTTATCTAATAAATCAAGAAAATAAATGGATGAAACAAAACACCCGCGAGCGAGACTGGTAGGTTCTGGGTTCGAATCTCGTGAGACGAGATCGTGGATGTGCACTGACACTGAGGAGTCCCACAATAGGACGAGTTGGCCGTCCAGTACTTTAAGGTTTTCCATTATGGTCTAGCTTGAATTGACTCATGATTTCAACTATATATAAAAAATCACTAAAAATCTCCACAAACAACCCCAAAATTTATTAGGTATGAAAATTTAAATAATATAAATGGTATGAAAATGTGCTTTCTATTAAAAAAATAAACAACTATGATATCGTATGGAGAGAATACATATTTAAAGATTTGCATAACTTAATTTTGTAGAGTTGCAACCTCAGACATAGACTGGTGACACCGCCAAATGTCCTGGTACGGCCGCGAATGGAGGGAGTCCTCTCCCCCTCTCCAAATGCTCTCACATGACCACGCGAATATATAGCCTCTGTCAGGGAAGTCCTAGTCACTGCCTTCTCGTGCCACAGGTGTTGTTTACGAAATTGAGAGGACGAAAAGCGAATGTCCGACGTTTTGACCCGGTTAGTGGACACGGAGTGTCCACCTAAGGGAGTTGGAAAACCCTGTTTCCAAATCACTGGTGCACATGAACTCCACTATTTCGTGGGAACAAATGGTATATGAACCTATCGTCGGTCACCGCTTACTATGGGACTGCATCTCCTCACGATGCTCCACTGCCTTCTAGATTAGACTTTTAGGTCAAAGGCTAGGGCTGTGGCCTCTTAAGAAAACCACCTGCTTCGGTCTGGGCAGTATCATAACCTTCACACAATTAAATGAAGTGACATTTTTTTGTGTGGCGCATATATATCTAGTGCTTCCTTGTACCAATATTTTTGTGTTCAAGTAAATAAATAAATAAATACTGGTGACAATAAATCAGCTCTGGTTAGGATTTTGAATGTTGCTTACTGATTAATACAAACACGAGTGAACGAAACCTAGGTCGAAATGATTCTATCTAAAAGCAAATAAAAGTATGATATTCCTTAATGTAGCAGTTACGCTAAATTCCCTAATTGACAGACTTTTATCATCCTTTGAGACAGGCACTGAAGTAGTTGGTTTCTGACAAAATTATTATGTCTATAATCTAGTATCATGGACAAATTCAGTAGAGCGATTGCCTAGTGATTAAAACAACACTCAGCTTTGAACAATTAACTCCTGGGTTTGAATGCCCGCCTCATTTATTTGAGTATAAATAGCCATGTAGTTAACCAAGTGCTAAGAATGTAAGTAAGCAGCTATCAAACAGCATATTACTAAAATTTTCAAAAGTATTATACCAAACATGCAAGATGTAGCTAGGACAAGTTCTATTACTTAGAAAACTGTGGGATCTTCAAAGCCGACCACAGATAACAACACTCATAATAAGAAAAATGATAATAATACCTTATAGTCGACCAATGTTTTAATGATTAAAACACTCCCTATTAGAGTGATGAGTTAGTGGTTACCGGGTTTGACTTCCAGTCACTAAGTCGCATACTGTTAGAAACGTGTATTGCCATTGGAAATTTTGATCAGTCATCGGAATGAAATGACAAGTAACCTTTTTTGTGATCCTTGAATTTTCATATAATCATTATCTTGTAATTGACTATTCGGTTTTATAGTGGATTGAACTAATCTAACCGGCATTCTTGTCCACCTGTGAACTGTATAGACCTGGTTAGAAGCTATTCAGATGTCGCATATTTGTACATTTTATACGTATTTCTATTTTCATTAGTACGAATTGGTTACCGAGTTACTATGTTTTTGGTTATTTTGTTCGGTGAGTATGTATCTGTCAAATCAATGTCCATATGGAAAATCAAACCAGGTTTCTATGAGTTCTGGATTTCACATATACTAGCAAGGAAATAACGATTACTGTTTTGAAGACTATGGAGGCTCAAGTCTCCATAGGTAAGTGTGTACAAATATTGTTATGTCTCCGACGTCAATCTATATCACTGGTTAAACTCATTATTCCAATTATAATTATTCGACTTCACGTCTGGTATTTCGTCTATAACGTAGTATCCTTAACCGTGCGTAATGTTACGTCTCAATTACCACAATAAACCTTGAACTAACGTAAGCCCCACTCCTATTAGTTTGCCTATCCGCAAACTTTTTTCTATGTTCATCCTTGAGTCCGAAACAGTAGTCGCCAGCCAAGAGTCTATACATGATAAGAATATTTATCCCAATCAAAGATGAACATAAAGGTGGAACTACACAACACTGATGTGTGAGTGACACTAGATTTACAATTTTAAACTTAAATAAATTGTATATAGTAGCTTTATTCAGTCACCAAATTTATGAAGATTATCTTAAGACAGATAAGTATATCTTTAAATCTTTTATCAAGTAACAAACATTTCTATAAACTATTTCTCATAGTATTAACAATATTTCCTCAGGTACACCAGTGTAGAAGTTTCTATAGTGTCCTTTTATTCACACTGTCAAACGCCTTCTCATAGTCAAGGAAGTTGATGTATAGTGACAAGTTCCATTCAATCGACTGTTCAATGATGATCCAAAGTGTCTTGATTTCGTTTGTACACGACCGATCCTTACGAAATCCATCCTGTTGATATCCAAGCTGGACACCTACTGAGTATTTCATTCAATTCAACAACACAATAGTAATATAAATACCGAATGCTACATCTGTTCCGGTCTGACTAATTTTGAAAATTAAATTATCATTTAAAAATGGCATCGACCCGATCGAGACGTGGTGTAGTTCATCCAGTTAGACAAATGTTCAAAACAACTCACAATTACATAAAACATACTTTGAGAGGTAAATCCAGGAGTTCTAGTGAGAAGTAGTGGAGTTCAAACGACGTCTGTTGTGAGATAGGAACTCACTGAATACAATTGGTGAACGGTTACTCAATTTCATGGATTATTTGAAGTTAGACATAAACACCATCGAATACTGGCTCAGTGGTCTATCGGTTAAGTGCTCTGGCACGAGACTGATAGGTCTTGGGTTCGAATTTCGCGAGGCGAGGTCGTGGATGCGCACTGCCACTGAGGAGTCCCACAATAGGATGAAACGACCATCCACTGCTTCCAAGTTTTCCCTGGTGGTCTAGCTTTAATTGACTCACGCTTTTAACTACAAAAATAAAAGTCTGTTTTTTTCTTCTTTAAATAATTACTTTTTTTTCAAATTCTGTTCATCATAATAGTAGTATTAAGTAAATTAAGAAAAGTTATCCTAGAAATTATGAAACAAACAAAAAAACATAAGAGAAACAAAATCTATTTTTAGTAACATTCAGAATAAATAAATAAGTAAATAATAATAATAATCAACCTCATTATAATATATGTTAATAAAGTAGTAAAACAATAATTGTACTCATGATAATGTATCAATGAAATGAGAAAGCAAGATGTGGGTGAGTGAAGAAGAGATAGGTTGAACAAGAAAGTATGTATGATCAATTATGGGTATGTAACTCATTCTCTCTCTATCTGTCACACACACACATACATATTGTGTATTCATTCCACTTGGAATTATTCATCTGTTTCGTTGTATTTTAATGTATTGAATGAGAATAATAATACTATACTATGGGAAAAGTGTACATAAAATACATGCTCATAAATATATATATGTTATACACATAAGATTGAAATCTAGGCAACAAAAATATGAATAACCATAATGGTTACTATTATTATGAGTAATAATAATAATGATAATGATAGCGTAGATATTGAGAACATGTGTTTGGCACAGAATATCATTAGTGAAGAGAATAAGAAAAAGGAATAAGCTAACTGTTGATTCTTTAAAGCATGCATGCATGCATGCGTGCGTGTGAGTCTATTTTCTCTAGTATATGGTATGTAATTACTACACAACAGACTGACGGCAAACGAGACAGACATAATGAAGTACACTGTTGTTGTAGTAGTAGTGATGGTCGGAAGGAAGGAAGGAAGGAAGGAAGGAAGGAAGGAAGGAAGGAAGGAAGGAAGGAAGGAAGGAAGGAAGGAAGGAAGGAAGGAAGGAAGGAAGGAAGGAAGGAAGGAAGGAAGGAAGGAAGGAAGGAAGGAAGGAAGGAAGGAAGGAAGGAAGGAAGGAAGGAAGGATGAATACAACAATTTACTGATTAGTAATTTGTTTGAAAAGAGAATATGGTTTTTTTCCTTCTTGTTTTTTTTCAAGATAAACAACAGATGACAACAGTTATAGTAAAAGTAGTAATACAGAAAAGAGAACAAATGAGGAAAAAGAAGAAGGAGAAGAGTTGAATGTCAATTGTGACTATCTGCTGACAAAAAAAAGATAGTTCAAGACAGAAGAAATAACACAAAGTAACTTATAAGTTGGAGCAAGTTCATCATTATAATATTTCTGGTAAAAAAAAATTTTTTTTTCCTAAAAAATATAAGGACCGAAGACAACAAGGCCGACAAAAATAACATAACTAGGAATGTATTTTTTTCTGGAAGAAAAGATGTATGTATATATATACATATATATATAGAAATCGTATAAAAATTGCACATATTCTGTTAATTTATTGCTTCAATAAGGTGAATACCATCTGTATGACTGACAGCAGCTACAGTAGACCAAGGTTTCCAACTAACTTGTAACCATTTACGTCCAACATCTACAGTGAATATGGATTCATTGAAATTGGGATTATTATTAGTACTAGTATTATTATCTGAAAATGATGAACTGGTAAAGTTTTCAGTGATATCAATCAAATCATCATGTATCCTTCGTGGCCATGTTAACTCAGTACCGTCGGGTGATGATGTTGATGATGATATAGGTGAAACAAATACAGAAGTATTATCATCAGTTGTACGAAATGTATCATGGAATGCATTCATATCTTCATCTTGCATAATAAGTTTATATGAACCTTCAATTGGATTTTGTCGATCAAATACTTTCACAGTATTATTATATGAACCAGTCATTATACAACTGGGGAAAAAAAGAAAAATTGTTTTACTGTTAAAACGAAACTTGAAAAAAACATATGGATAAATAAGCAAACATGGATAGTGACTACCAGTGGAATCCAGGACGCGCGTTTCGTCCTATTTGAGACTCGTCAGCTGGATGAACCTGCATCTCAGAGTTGATGTTCACTCTGGGATTCAAAACCAGTACCTGACTGACCAGTTGCAGTCCAAAAACATCAATGGAAAGATTCAAACAAACAATACTGAGTATGGATAAGTAGTTTTATGAACAATAAATATCAACAATACATGCACTTTAAATAACAAAACTACTTTCTTTGCCTTTCTATATAATTCTTTTTCTATCCCCCTTTGTATTTACGTATATTACATCTATATTTGTTGAATTATCAGAAGGGGTTTTGTGGAGATTCCAGTATTTTCATAGTTAGATCATGAGTCATACGAAGCTAGACCACTATAGGAAACCTGGAAGCACTGGATGGTCGTTTTGTTCTACCGTGGGAAACCTCAGCAGTGCGCATCCACGATCCCGCCTCGTGAGATTCGAACCCAGGACCTACCAGTCTCGCGCCAGAGCACTTAACCGATAGACCACTGCTGAGGAGTCCCATAATAGGACGAAACGGCCGTCCAGTGCTTCCAGGTTTTCCATGATGGTCTAGCTTCAATTGACTGATGATTTCAACTATGAAAATACTGAAATCTCCACAAAAACCCCTTCTGATTATAATCATATGCTCACTAGTGACTGACTTCAAGATACATGTCCTGGAGTTCTAGTGGGAAGCAGTGACCAGTGGAGTTCAAAACACGTCTGTTATGAGATAACAACTCACTGAAGACAATTGTTGAACGGTTGCTCAAACTTTGTGGATTGGTTGAAGTTAGACATAAACACCATCGAATACTGGCTCAGTGGTCTATCGTTTAAGTGCTCTGGCGCGAGACTGATAGGTCCTGGGTTTGAATTTGTTGAATTATTTGCAAATATCATGTTATTAAATTGTCTAGAGAATTTTGGAATTGACTAACTCTTAGATGTCATTGAGTCTTATAATAACTGTTTTATTTTCATCTTACTTAACATCGTCTTCTTGTTGTCACTATTTTAGATTTATTTATTTATTTAAACACATAAATATTGGTACAAGGAAGCATCAGATATATATGCGCCTCACAAATCTCATTCGATTTGTGTGAGGGCTGTCATACTGCCCAGGTGCCCAAACTGAAGTAGGTGGTTTTCTTAGGGAGCCACACCCGGAGCCTTTGACCTGAAGGTCTAGTCCACAAGGCAGTGGAGCATCGTGAGGAGATGCAATCCCATGGTAGCCGGTGATCAACGATTGATTCATACGCCATTTGTTCCCTCAGGATACTGGAGCCCATGTGCGTCATTGGTTTGGAATCAGGGTTTTCCAACTCCCCTAGGTGAACTCGCCTTGTTCACCAACCCGGTTAAAGAGCCGGACATTTCGCTTTTCGTCCTCTCACTTTCGTAAACAACTCCTGTGTCACAAGAAGGCAGTGAGTATGACTTCCGTGGTAGAGGCTATATACGCGTGGCCATGTGAGAGCATTTCGAGAGGGAGAGCAGACTCTCCCCACTCTCGGCCGTACCAGGGCATTTGGGGTTACTGTACTTCGATTATGGCTGTATGAAACTTATTGCTTCCATTTTTTTATCAATGAGACTGAAGTGCATCCTCTACTTTTTTAGGAAAGTTTGCTATCGATAACCACTAGTTAATTGTATAAGTTTTCCATCTCTTGTATAATTATTTACTTTATAGTTGATTGTTCACTTTTGAAGTAAATTGAATTAACTTATCTTTTTCTCTGGGTAGGATATTGTCCCTTAATTGATAGATATATTATTCGTATTATGATAATTGGGTTTTACCAAATGTCTGTACGGGTTGAGAAAAAAGTGTTGTTCAGGTATATTTACTTTGGTTTATAATTATACTTTTTCTAAAAGCACCTTCTCAGATGTCGGCCATATTATCTATGAAGTTATTAACCAATATTTTTTTTAAAATTTAAACTAGGGAGTCATTCCCAAAAACACCAACGGCACAGATATACTAGAATTACTCGGATTCTTAATGACTGGCTAGTTGATGTGCTGAGATTTGTAAAGTGTAACAAATTGAAGAGACTAACTTATCAACCTCACTTAAACACTCTTTGGACCCAACATCAGATCACTGATAACTCGGTATTGAAATGAAAGGATAAGTGCACAAGATTGGTATGAGTTACATAGTTATGAAATTTTTATAACTACTAGTCTACTACTATTGTTAGTTAGTTTTAGTCAACCATTTTGTAATTGGACTATTCTCAGATGACTTTCAATGCATGCTATTAGTGTACCAATCTTTGATATTTCACAGTACAATAAGTTACTGACAGTGCATCAATACAGAGAAAAGCTATTATATATATGCATGTATATTCTAAACTATTACTTTTTCGACCGTAGCTGCTACTTTGATGTGGCGATCGGGCTTGCCAATCGTGATGGCTCGATCAAGTAATATTGGCTGCAACACTTATTATTTTAGGTCCTACCATGACAGGCAGGTGGATATCACTAAGAGAGAGCAGTGAGGTGTTTCCCTTAGACAACCAGCATCTGAGGCGATGCTGCCTTCCAACAAAGAAAAACTGTCACATCTTTACTCCACGGAATTCCATCTTAGGCGGTAGGGCTTTTTGATGTACGTAGCTAACACATTAGAAGCACCTCATAAAAAAGTTGTGTGTGACCGGGCTCAGGAAGCTTTTCCATGGGCTTTGCGATCGCGCTTCCAGATCACTCAAGAAGAAATAACTTTGGTGTAGGCAACCCAGAAGTGACAACCGCTCTTACACTTCTAACAGCACCTGCGGTTGTCTTGTTCACGAAGCTGTTAATTCACTCAAACTATTTTTAGACAGAAATGTGTTTACTCTTTTAAAAAACCGGGCCAAAAAATCAATTACTAACTAGCCACTCACATACCGATCATCTGAAGATATAGTTAGTTTGAAATCATCAAAAAGTAATTCACTTTCGTATAAAACAGCTAAATGCTTTTTTAAATGACGTTGGACAGGATAAACTTCAACTGGTTGAGTTGGCATTCGTGAATCCCAGGCTACACCATGAGTATGGGGATAAATAAAAAAACAATATATATATATATATATATATATATATATATATATATATATATATATACGGTTAGTCGAAAGTAGGGTGAGAATGTGTTCAGCGTTTTCAGAACACGTTGGAAAGTTCTCCACTTCATGTCACCTAGTGGTAATAAAAGGAATTGATTTCAAACTGAACAAAGGAACCTTGAAAACCATGTAGCTAAACATAGTTGTTTGTTTTGCTAGTGAGTTGCAAGCCATAAGAAGGATTTACAAAATTGGAGTGAGACACTAGCCAGTGAGTAAGACAGATATTTTATCGACAGCATTCAATCATAGTACAGAAATGTGCATTTATTATAGCTTAAAACATGTCAATGGATTACGACCGAGTGATCTAAAGACATGGTACTCCTATCAAGGCCTGAAGGTCTTAGATTATACTCCCCATTGTGTCACAAAGACATACACTGCTGAGAGGAAAATTGAAATGACACAGCTCTCTGACACATCCTGGTTCTATAACCAATTAATTATTGAGCGATTAGTATTACGTTTACCTACTCTTATGATGCTGGTTGAGTTCTGTCGATTAAGCCACTAGCCTAGATCAATCCAACCATATGATATCTCAACATAGTACACTTACGTCACTGGCTACATTTCAACTCGATCGATAAAATTTAGAGGGTACCAAAGAACTAGACAAACATAAAATCGGTCAATACTCAGTGATCAATCAATTGTAAATATCTCACTATTACAGAAAAGTCGCCACCCAAACAGCTGAAAGATAATGTCTTGAACTGTGAAATCGGATGGGGTGGTTTCAAACAACATGGAGAGTCATTTAAAGGGTGTAGGTATGCTTTGTGGACCGATTTCAACTGGTAGGGAACCTAGATTAAGCAAAATTTTCTCCCGACTATCTTCAGTCACGTGCTTGAATTACTGCTCGTCAACAGTTCTTAGGTCAATATAAGTTTGTGATGAGAAATAACTTTCAAAATGAACAATATCCAGAAATCCTCCATATCTTTAAAAACAAATTATTGTTTAGGAATTATACAAACTTTTAAAAAACAAATTTAAAATGAGTGTTTACTTTTAACGCTCAAATAATCACGGGAAAATATAATATAATCGGAGCATTGGCCAAATTTCAAGTCGGAAACGGAATTAGTGAGAATGGTAAGCACATCTGATTCGTCTGCAGCAAGACTATGAAAAACTTTAGAGAAAAAAAACCTGAGTGTGAAAAAATATATAGATAAAACGTAGTCATGGAAAAAGTTAATCAGGTATAGACTCCTGTACTTGGCGTCGAGTCACCTAAGTGAGGTCTAGTGACCCAATATTCACCCTTAGTCAGGTTCTGAAACACCGACATACCTACCGACTCTCAACCATAGTTGTATCTCTCGACCTTAAGGTATCATTTGGTTATGTACATCAAAAGGCTTTGTGGCAGTGTTTGTTTCTGAAAAGTATACTAAAGAAGTACATTAACCTTGTACAGGCTCTCTACTCGAACACCACTGGTCGAGTCCATTGCAAACTGTCATCGGAATTAGTGACTTTAAGTGATGTTTGTCAAGATTATCCGCTTCCCTCACTTTTATTCAGCTTTGTCATAGGCATGCTTTCAGACAACACTGAATATCCAACTTTTCAGAAATTGATTTTTAACAAGGAAATTCACTTGTTGACTTAGAACACGCAGATCATATAGTTCTGTTTGGTGAAGACGCTGACAAAATCCAGTCTTCTGACCACCTTCAGCAACGATCCAAGCATGTTTTGGATGTGGTTCTCTCCCACCAAATATGGAACGTTATTTCAGGACTGGCTTACGTCATCGCCTGAATTTGTGACAGGGAGTGAAATAGTTGTGCGTATCAATCGCTTCACTTATCTTGGGAGTCTCATAGGTATCTGATGAAATCTCAGCACGCATTCAGAAGGCTCAATTGGCATTTGCCAAATTGTATCACTTGTGTTGTAGGCGAGATCCTTCTGCCAAACAAAGGGTGGGTTTACTTTGCAGTCGTTCGCTTCGTCCTATTTTATGGGTGTGAAACATGGTCATTAAAAAAAGGATATCCGCGGCTTACTGGTGACCGGCTACTTATTTATTTATTTCAACACATAAACATTGGTGAAAAAGGACACCAAAAGAGACACATGCGCCACAGTTTTTTGTGTGCTTTGATAGTATAATTTATAACCAGTGGATAAGAAAATAATAATATGCTTACCAAGAGAAGCGTGATCACAAAGAGAGCTTGACCGTGTATCACAAAGAAAAATTGAACCTCTATTAGTGCCATATGCAAATAATGATGGGGAAGAATTGCTACAACTAATTCCAGTGATCAGATGTGAGCGATCGTCCAAACGATCAAGCATATGATCAATGACACCTTTAAATTAGCAGTGTCAAGGTGTTTTGAGTTGAGAAAAATACATTGCATATCAGAAAAATCAAGTAGAAAAATATAATTAAAGCAGGACTATATTTGTTTGAGTGCTCCTTTCAGTACTTCCAACTGTCTCAGTTAGTTAGTGAAATCGTTACTTGACAGATATTTCATATTTAGTGTATAAGTGAGTATTCTATAACAACGGTTGGAATTCTTAAGAAAATACAGTAATTCACAACAGTTGACCCTTTGAAAACAGACTACTTAAATACTATAGTAAAACTCCAAAGCGTGTTGACAAAACAACTGCTGTTTCCTAAAATATTTTAAAAACACAGTTGTTCCTAGTCAGGTAATTACAATGAATAGCAGATGACAGTCTAAACACATTTTTAAATGGTCATGATTATTGGATTTCTAACTTAAAGGTCCTTCAAATACATGGAAAACCTATATCCAATAAATCAATAAACTCTCGAAATAACTTTCAACACTGAACATCATCTTAATTCTCAATCGAAAACACTTCTGTTCATCACATTATAGCTACATACAGCTCCATAATGAATCGATTTCCAAGTAAGAGCTTCTCTGAAGTTAATACCTTCCATAAGTTTATTGTAGACTATTTATTTGAACACAAACATTGGTACATGGGTGCGCTAAAGATATATGGGTCACATAATAAAAATGGGGTTGTGAAGAGGTAGAAAAAGTAAAGTGAGTATGATACAAATGAACAACAATCAATAGAAATAAATGTCTGACACTGAGAGCAGTAATAATAATGGAAGAAGCAGTCCAGTTAGGAAAAATACAACCAAAAAGAATTCTTCCAGTTAAAAAGTCACTTTCACTTCTACGAATTAAGTAAAAGAAGAATACATCAGGATCGCCACTGGCATCTATTCTAAGCTATTTTTGATAACATTTCAAGCTTTTGTGTCGCAATATCTTTAGGAACCCAACAGGGGATTTGTAAAGGTCCTACAAATGCAATTCCTCTCCAGCTTCCTTTCATCCTATGACACCATGTAATACACTGACCACCTCTCAAATTTTTCGAAATAGTCCAAGCACCTGCAAATAATGAACGATATGGAATTCGTTGGGACTACATTCGCAGTACATGTCTAAGAAACTGAAGTCGATATTTCAAAACAGTGACATCAATTGAATTATTGCCGCTGTTGTGAACACACGTTGTAGGACCTCCCTAACACTAACATAGTGTTGCATTGAAGGCCAGCAACCCCTCGGAGAAAACGATGACCAAACACAGAGAGTTGTCTAGCATCCTCAACTCGAAGGGGCCAGGTTTTACAGGCACAAAAAACTGATCTAACTGACACGTTGTACATCTTACCTATAACAGCCAAACTAACATCACGAAGGCGCAAAAGATGACCCAGATTGACATAAACCACTCTGGTTTACATTATAAGTCAGTTGATTTCATCACTCAGGTCACCATCAGCACTTACGCAGCTACCTAGATAAGATCGAATCGAACTGGAGAGATTTCAATATTATGAAGTGGGGTTTGAAATTCATCAGCGATTTCAATCTAAAACATGACATCAACATTGAACTGTGTAACACATGTTTGATGGTCTGTACGAATCGTGACAAACAACTTTTATGGATATAAATATATTTTTACGAGTTAAACGTTGAAAAACTAGAATCGACTCAAGATAAAAGGGATTAATACCAACTAAATTAATGATAGTTGACAAAATGCAAACGGTTAATAAAGACTTAATAAGTCATTAGTAAAAGGATACTGAACACCTCATTAGTAACTTCCAAGTTCCACATATTAATCCTCAGTGGATCGGCAGAGAAGAAAGTCTCACGGTCAGCAGAGGGTGACAAACCGACTATTGAAAAGCCGTGGGCACGAGCAAATACTTTTTTATTCTGTACACGTATATTTGTATTTCCATAATTCTTCAAACAAACAGGGACTTTGATATCGGATAATGACCTGATAACAACTTTACGTCGGCAACCCGATTCAACAGGGAAATTCAAATTTGTAAACGACTGTGTCGGCAGTTCAGTCAACTGCCAAAGTTTTATAGTACGTTCTGTAAAAATAATAGTAATGGTAGGACTGATCAATCTGATGACATGTACCATATATGCTGTGTGTATTAAAAATCTTTAAACATCTGATCAAAAATCTTCGGATTTGAACATAGATATATATAAATACAAATTTGCACAGCCGATATGCATTGGTACCAAACTTTTATTTACTGAGTTAATCATTTCAAAAGGGCAAGTAAATAAAAAAAACTAGGTATAAGTCGTGGTTAAAACTAGCGGTTTCTTGTATGAAGCAACCATAACTCATTTTTAAGCAGAGGTGTATGGTAGCAAGCATTGGGATCGAGGATGCACGTTTTCCCCTATTTGGGACTCGTCAGGTGGATGTACCTGAAACCAATATATATGAGCTGAATATCATGAATCACTGTTCATAAGGATTTGCTTCTCCATTAGCAATCTTTAGGATCTTAACGGGGTTTGTGTTAGTGTAAACAGCCGCACTGGGACACATTGAGCTGACCAGTTCCAAATAAGTATTTACAATCCATTGCTAGATATAATAGTAAAACTCAAGGTTTAAACATCACGTAGATGTTGAAGATGAGAATCATTATTGTTTTTCAGTTGTGATCGATAATCTGGATTAGTAAGGAATGGTAGAGAGAACATTCCTCACGAAAACCTAATTATTAAAGCGAAACAGATAACAACGGACACAACAGCTAGTCACGGAAGTAAGTTCATCTGGAAAAGCGACAAACGTATGCACAGATATCAACATGATCCTCACAAAGTATTTAAGACCCAAGTGTTCCTACTGATCTCATAAAAGTACTTTGATGACTTGTAAGACAGCACACGGGCACTTCACCAACTGACCAAGTATATCTTGCAAAATTTGTGTTACTGAACACCAAGGTCAAAACAACACGCTTACTAAATTTGTACAACCTTATTATCAGAAACGAACAACTACGAAGTTAACCCAATCCTCTAATTTATGTTATTTGTTAATGTTCATGGTTGTTTGTGTCACTGACGAATGTTTCCAAATTTTACTTTCCACTCACCGTGTTAAAGTTCAGCGGAAGTATTGATGCACCGACTATTGACTGGATGGGCAGGATCATGTACAGCGTTACTGATTTCTATCCGTTATTTTCGACAAACATCGAACACGGAAACAAAGGAGATTAGAATGGGGATCCTAAATAACGCGAAATTAGAATTACCACCTATATTGACTGTAGTGTCCAGATTTGTACATCACCCTTTTTAATTTGCTGGTTACTAGGCTTTAGTTTGAAAAACATAAGTATTTACAAGTGATTGATTACGGGGTGGTGATCAATGTCATGTATGTTAGGTCCTTTTTAGTGCAGGTCGAATCCTATCGATCATGTTACAATGTGGTCACAAATCTAGGTGACTCGACATTGCATGCACCATGTTGAAATAAGATGGTGGTTGGAGGTAGTCAATCATGGACCTAGGTTTCGTACTACTTGGCACTCGTCAGTAGGGTGTAATTGTAATCCTGAGGGAGCTGATGCTCCCTGACGGATTCGATCCTGTTGACTGCCTCCAACCACCATCTTATCTCAAAACAAGTATTTACTTGTCATACTGGTAAATACCACTTTGAGTTTGTAGGTGACGGAATCTGCTAGATGCAACCAGTTAGTCTACTTTCTAGATCTTTATCTCTGGAAGCACTGATTCCCTTATAATTTATTACTCTAATTACCGCTCCCAAATGCTCTGCTACGGACGAGAATGGGGAAAGTCCGCTCTCCCTCTTGAAATGATCTCCCATGGCCAAGTGAATATATAGCCTCTACCACGGAAGTCATACTCACTGCCTTCTCGTGCCACAGGTGTTGTTTACGGAATCGAGAGGACGAAAAGCGAATGTCCGGCGCTTTAACCGGGTTGGTGGACACGGAAAGTCCACCTAGAGGAGTTGGAAAACCCTGATTTCAAACCAATGGTGCACATGAGCTCCAGTATCCTGAGGGAACAAATGGCGTATGAATCAATCGCTGGTCACCGGCTACCATGGGACTGCATCTCCTTACGATGCTCCATTGCCTTGTGGATCAGACCTTTAGGTCAAAGGCTCGGGGTGTGGTCACCTAAGAAAACCACCTGCTTCAGTTTGGGCACCTGGGCAGTATCACAGCCCTCATACAAATCAAATGAGATTTGTGAGGTGCATATTTATCTGGTCCTTTTTTGTACCAATATTTATTTGTTTAAATAAATAATAAATAAATAAACTCTAATTACCAACGAACGATACTTCCTTAAGTACACCTAAAAGATAGAATACTGTTTACTTATTTAGAGACCTGATCTACATAGTCGGTCCGAAAGATTCCTGACCTCAAACAAGTAGTCTTGCGACGCAGTAATAACATGACCGATCTTGTTAAAGCTTTATTATGAATATTCGAAATAACTCCAAAGCTTAAAAAAATATTTGTTAAGGATATCAAAAGGGATTAAGATAATTCAGAGTGAATTATACGTCAGAATTTTCTATTTAATAAGTGCAAACACTGGAAAAATATACTAATATCTTCGAATAACTCTTTCCATAGTAATATTATTAGAAAGCTTACCATTGGAAGATAACAAGAAGTGGGAAAGCCCAGATTTCGGGAGCCAGCGTATAAGATTGATTTTCTCCTCAATTGCTTGGGACTTCAGACAGTCAAACTCTGGTTCATGGCTTAAAAATACTTGATACGGTTTTGAACAGGAATGGCGATGGTGTGTTATTTCAGAGAGATCCTAATTCTAGCATTATCGTCAAAAATCTAGGTCTACAAACCGCTTGGCCGATTTCAATGACACTAACGATCCCATCAGAATTTCCATAAGCCAGATGTGTGCCTTCTTTGTTGAACTCTATCACGGAAATAGCTGTAAAACGATGTAACGTTAGTAATGTGCACCTACGTCCTGAACCCTCGATCCTTCTGAGAATTTCGTTGCAGTACCATTTGAGTCGTCCTATTGTGGAAATAAACATGACGGTAAGAAATCGCTTTTACAACATACCAGATTGGGCCACGGCATCACAGGACGGAGCAGCATACTGCCCAATAGGGCTTTGCATGTCAAAAAGTTGCGCAGCATTCAACACGTGCGCCTAATCCGTTCGAACTTCTTCATTTCTCAATACTGTTTAGCTTCAGACGCAAATTTAACAGGATTAACTAAACATATAATGGCCAAAAAGCTACTTAAAACACCTTCAAAATACGCAAGTTTCACCAAAAGTCCAAGTATACGAATTTAATAGCCCTGTAATTCAAATATATCTTATTCAAATGGTTCAAATGGTTGTGGGCGGAATAGCAGGAGCTTACACTTGACAGGCTTCTGTATCTAGTAGCAGTGGATCATCAATACCTCTAGGCAGGAACCTGGGTATATAGAGGATAAAAGAGGAAAAAGAAATTTGTAAATCATGGTAAGATTTCAATTGACAATTGTATCTGTGCTAATGTGGTATGGCAACTTGAACTGATGTATGTACGTACGAAGTCCTATGCTGCTGCTGAATATCCCAGACGCTTATGTTCTTATATAAACCGAAGAATTAAGAGGATAGACAGCATCTCAGAATTATGGGTAGAGGATAGTACCATCTCATTAGTAGGAGATGATCATGATAAAGCTCAAGTATTCTTAAATTACTTTGGTGATTTACGTACCGTAAAGATCCCCTCCCCCTAATTTCATACAAACCTCACACACACTGCACACTGAGACCATTAAAGAACCAGATATCTTTGGTCAACTAAATAAATAAAACAACACGCGCTCTATTTAAAAAGGACAGTGATATTTTTTCTCGTTGAGTAAATTCTATTGCTTTGATCGTTATTAACGTATCAAGACTACTTTTTATACTTTGATTGAATTTCTTTCAGTTGAAGTATTCGACCAGAGTATCATTTTTGGTATCCTAAATCGATTTATCGTCGGTACTCCAGAGTACCTTGTTTTTCTTTTGTATCTGTTAGTACTTTGGTCCTACCTATTTATAGTTTTTTCTACTTTTAGTCAAAACTCACTTTCTCATCCTAAAATGATTGGAAGGTGCAACAAAAGCATTTTCCACCGCCCAGGATGTCGATATCCCGTTGACAGAGGCATGCAGTGCGATGAGTGCAAAGGTTGGTACCACAAAGTTTGCACAAATCTAACGCCTGCAGCTTTCAAGCGGTTCAGTAAAAATGGATGCATATGGCTATGTCAACAGTGCTGTTTTGATGCAAATAGCCTGTTAACCGAGGCCATCTCAATGGTAAATGCCGCGAAAAAGTGTCCTGGCAAGCGCGGTCGTGACACATCGGTTAGAACTCGATCTGTCGACATGCAGATTGACATAAGGCAGGCCCAAGTGAGTCCAAAAAATACTGACCCACACTGTCCAAAGGAGGAAGGACATCCTCTAAAGAGGTCTGTCACACTCAGAAACTCGAGAAAAAAGTCTCTTCTGTCCCTCGTATCAAAAATGGTACCCAGAAGGGAACTTCCGGAACCCAAAATAGCAAGGCTCGATCGGTTTCCAGCGTGAAAGATGACCCAACCTCCCATGTTGTCTTAAACCTTCCAGAATTTCACAGTACGCCTGACACGACTGTGGTTACCACTCCACAGAACGTTGTTGATTGGGTACGGGTCGTAAGGAAAAACGGCAAAATGACGTAAAAGGGAATCCTACCCCCACCAAAAGGGTCGAAAAGCCGAGGTCTGATCACAGCGACAGATCAGTCATTCTCCATAGAGTCAAGGAGAGTGACAGCTTAGAACGGAAAGCTCATTTTGAGCATGACATTGTGTTGATAAAACACTTACTCAACCAAGTTATGCCCCAAAACATCTCCGGAGTCACTTTGCTAAAGGTGTATAGACTAGGAAACCTGGCGAATTTGATGCCTAATCAGTCTACATTGCTCAAAATAGTTTTCAAATCCCCAAATGAACGTTACCTAATCTTAGAAAATGGACACAAATTAAAGGGTTCGGGAATCTTTCTCCGTAAGGACTTACCGTTGGCGGACCGTGTTAAAAGACGGGAAGCCGAAAAAGAACTACAGCTCAGATTAGACGCTGGCGAAAAAGACCTGAAAATTGTAAATTTTTGGGGTTGTGAGGCTTCGACAGATGATGATGCCGAAGCCACTCTGGGTGAAGCACGAGGCCACTTAAATAGGCTTCGGATCTGTTATACCAATGCCCGAAGCCTACTAAATAAGCTACCGGAACTAGGTGTACAGATTGACTCAACTAGGCCAGACATAATCGCAGTCACAGAAACATGGCTGACGCCGTCAATAGATTGTAGGGAACTTGATTTCGAGGGTTTTACATTAGTAAGGACCGATAGAATACAAACGCGTAAAGGGGGAAGAGGAGCTCTATTCATTAGGAATGCTATTCCGTTCACTATTATCGACAGTGTATCCCATGAGAGTGGGACATATGAATTAGTTTGCTGCCGCCTGAAATGCAGGGGACAAGAGTTGCTGCTTAGTTTGATCTATCGCAGTCCAAGCTGTGAGGCAAACGAGGTCCTGCTAAGCAGTCTCAACACTTTATCACAAAGTGATCGATGTCTAATCCTAGGGGACTTTAATGCACCCATGGTGGACTGGGGAAATCTGCGGACTGAATCGTCAGCAAATTCCTTCGAACAGGAACTAGTTGATGCGGTAATCACATATGCCCTAGTGCAACACGTGAAGGAAACATCTAGGTACAACTCGGGTTCTGCATCATCCCTACTAGATCTTATATTGCATCATTATGAGGATGACGTTGCAAACCTGGATTACATGCCACCCCTAGGCAAAAGTGATCATGCAGTTTTAAGCTTTGACTTCCATATAACTGTCGATCACGAGTACGCTTCAGCTCAATCCAGACCTAACGTCTGGAAAGCAAACATACCAGACATCATGAAATCAGCATCATCAGCAGATTGTAAAATAGACCCAGAGTCATCAATCGAAACGGCTTGGGACATATTCCGGAATTTATACTTAAAAGTTACCGCCCCCCACATCCCTTGGACTACACCTAAGAGACCGAGAAACTCCCCACCGTGGTTCAGTAGGGAGATTCGCATCCTTCTCCGTAAAAGAAGGAAAATGTGGGACAGATTTAGGTTACTGAGGACTGACGAGGCAAAATCTCAGTATCAAAAGGCTCGAAATACCTGTGCCTCGACCCTCCGTAAGGCCAGAAAGCTGTACGAAGAGAAAATCGTTAGGGAATTCATAGAATGCCCTAAACGATTGTATTCGTATATAAACCAAAGGACAAAAAGAAGAAGAAATGTTCCTTCACTATGGGGAGACAGTACTGCCTCATCACTAGTGGAGGACGACTTTGGCAAAGCTCAAGTATTCTCTAAATACTTTAGCGATGTATACACCATAGAAACACCCTTCTCACCAGTCCATGAAAATCCCCTCACACAAGCACTGGACAGCGTGACCACTGAAGAACTCGATGTCTTTGGTCTGCTAGTTAAGTTTGACATAGGTAAATCCACTGGACCCGATGAACTGCTTCCTAGGTTACTAAAGGAATTAGCTAACTTTGTTGCGAACCCTTTAAGTGTATGTTTTAATCTATCCGTAACCCAGGGTCGTCTACCAAAAGACTGGAAGAACGCCATAGTAAGTCCAGTCTTCAAAACAGGTACAAAACATAAGCCTGAGAATTACCGACCAATTAGCCTAACTAGTGTGGTTGTTAACATCTTAGAAAAGATTATTCGGAAGGAGCTGTTAAAGTATCTCGATGAAAACCGGATCCTCTCGGAAAAGCAGCATGGTTTTAGAACAGGTTACTCTTGTCTCACAAACTTATTAGTCGCTCGTGAAAGCTGATATGCTCTTAAGGACCAAAAGTTACCTATGGACGTAGCTTACATCGATTTCAGTAAAGCTTTCGACAAAGTTCCGCATAACCGGCTGTTATATAAGCTAAGGAATGTCGGGATTGGAGGCAATCTATTGATGTGGATAAAAGACTTCCTAGTTGGGCGTCAACAAAGAGTAAGGGTGAACTCCAAGTTGTCTAGCTGGGAAACTGTGCTTAGTGGAGTCCTCCAGGGTACAGTTTTGGGGCCAGTGTTATTCCTCCTGTACGTAAATGATCTCCCTCGTCTACTATCGTCATCGGTCTTACTCTATGCTGATGATGTCAAGGTATGGAGAGCGATACAAAGCAAGGGCGATAGCTTAGAACTTCAAAATGACCTAGAGAGATTATCTGAATGGTTACAAACCTGTCAATTGCCGATAAACACTTCCAAGTGTATTGTGATGCATATTGGCAACCAGGGTACAGATACATACACGATGAATAACACTGAGTTACCTATTGTTCAGGCACACAATGACTTAGGCGTCATCATTAGTCAAGACTTGAAGACTACTGCACACTGCCGTGCAACAGCCGCCAAAGGTTTTAGGACTTTGTGGTCCATACCCAGGGCTTTTAGGCATCTAGACGCTAAAACGTTTCTGACTTTGTATACAGTGTTCGTACGTCCTAAACTTGAGTACTGTATACAAACAGCTAGCCTCTGCCTAAAAAAGACAGTGAACTCTTGTAAAGTGTTCAGAGAACAGCAACTAGTCTGATTCCCAGAATAGCGAAGCTCCGGTACTAGACTGACTTAGCTAAACCTATTCCTGCTGTCATATAGAAGAATCAGAGGGGACTTGGTTACAGTTTTCAAATAGCTTAATGACAAATTTGCACCTGATATGCCCTCATTTTTCTTGTCTTCCAAAAAAGAAAATATACGAGGACACTCCAAAAAAGTTCACAAGCGCAGAACGAATTACTTGTCAGCTGACTACCGATTTTCCCATCGAATAATCAACGAGTGGTATTCATTACCTCAGCACGTGGTTGAGGTTCCATCCGTCGACTCCTTCAAAAGAAAGTTGGATCAGCTGAGAGACCATGATTGCCAAGACTAACACAGGCCACCAAGCCTCCTGTACTTTCCAAACTGAAACTGAAACTAAATATAGTCAAATCAATGATGGGATGCATTTGAGCCACTCGATGAATTAGAGAGTTTTTTCGCGCATCCTTAAAACATGTTTTAATTCTGGTGACTTTCCTAGGTACTGTGATCTTAGTCTCTTTATTGCTAACCCGGTAGTTACTTGAATGTCACCCATACCCTCAACTGGGAATGGACTTGAGAAGTGTTCCGCACTTACAGGCTCCTGGTTCAGTTGGTCTTTAAAGCTGGCATCAAAGATCTCTGACATCTATAAGCTAGTGGGATCTTTTCTGTTTGACCATTTAAGAGTATGAATCCCATGGTTCGTTAGCCTTCTCCTGGCCATGAATCTGTAAACGATATGGTTGGCTTGCTTTTTGGTTACTGGATTTGCCTGGAAACGTCCCTCAATACCACTCTGGATAGCCTTGGCTAGATGCTGACCATTTGTCAGCAAACAATCTAATTCTGAGAGTTTTCCGTCCCTGTCTCATCTCATGGCATCATTCACATGTTCATTCAGTTCGGAAATTCCGATAGCTG